TTCAGCAAGTTAAGAAGACTGAACACAGTGTTAAGGGAGTTTTATGGATTGATCCGGACAGCAAAAGGGGAGCGCTACAGCATCAGCAGCTACCTCGGACTTTGGGCGGGATTGGAGCTGCCGGTGAGCCGCTCATGGAATTTAATGCAGGACTCAGAGTTTGTACCAGCTAACAATGTTTTCAAAGGAGTCATACTGAAACATTCAGATAATTGTAAATGATACAAAGTAAAGTTACAGCGCTTTGTAGAAAATGTTTGTGTTGCCCAGCAACAGCCGTGTTGGGACTATTTGTGTTGGCAGAGCTTGATAAATGATTAAATAAATGCACACATCATAATATGTTGTTGCTTATTGTTGTTATAAAAATAAAATGAGCAAGTAGAACTGTTGTATAAAAGCAATATCACACGAGAGGGAGTGCCTACGACCGAATCACACCAGTGCTGATATTCAGCAACAACGCACTTTCTCTTGTGTGATATTGCTACAGTATGTGTGTATATATATATATGTGTGTGTGTGTGTGTGTGTGTATATATATATATATATATATATATATATATATATATACTGTATATATATATATATATATATATATATATATATATATATACTGTATATATATATATATATATATATATATATATATATATATACTGTATATATATATATATATATATATATATATATATATATATATATATATATATATATAGATAGATAGATAGATAGATAGATAGATATAGATATATAGATATAGATAGATGATAGATAGATAGATAGATAGATAGATAGATAGATAGATAGATAGATAGATAGATAGATAGATAGATAGATAGATAGATAGATAGATAGATAGATAGATAGATAGATAGATAGATAGATAAGCTAGCCACTAGCCGTCTGCCATGATGCATTGGTTCAGAAATAAAGCGCTGAGTCACGAGATTGTTTATGATCGGCTTATAGATCTTTACCATGTAACTGTGTGCAGCTGTCTGGGTGACTGTGGCCCATCAACAGCTATTCAAGAGTAAATAATTAAAAATGCATTTATTTACCTGGTAGCCCTGCATTGACTTAAACTCAAAAGCTGACTTGAGGACAGACCATGAACTGGACTAAATCCAGCCCAGATCCGGTTACTGCTGCCAAGAAACTAAAAAACATACACCTACCAAACTTTTTATGTTATTGGACAAATGCAAGAGACCTGTTTCATGTCTCAGGTTTATGGGTTTAAAACTACAGATTGGTCTTTTCAATACTGCAGAATGTAGAGATTAACTACACACTAGAATCAGCACTGTTGCTATTCAGTTGGAGATTCTGAAAATGACCAATCAGATTAACCTCTGAGGCTTACACCATGTATAAATATCCCGGATACTTATATATCGATCTATGTTCATACACCAACCTGTTTGGTCTAATTTTAATCCAAAGATTAATGTTTAATTTAAATAGTTAAATTTTATAGCAAAAGTTTATTTTGAATCAGAAGCTAGGAATCTTTGCTTTCAAATAACCAGAAATATTATACCTTTTCTGTGTTTCATTTCAATAATTAGGCAAGTTTAAAAATGAAGACATTTTATTACTAACAATTTTAAACTTAATGATTTGAACGACAATTCATGGATGACAATTTAATGACCATTTTTAACAGCTTTGATATTAAACTTGTTTTAAAAGCAAACCTGTGGCTGGATGGAAGCTAAATTGGAAATACGAGTTTGGATGCGTGAATGGAATTATCAGAAGAATTCTTTCAGAGAGAGAGGAAGCGTTCTGGATAGAAATGATGTTTTGCCGCTAACTGAGTTTTTACTTAGAGAAAACAGCATCAAACACATTCTGTCGAAGTCTACCTCACCCAATCTGAAGACCCCGTTTTGGATCCGAAGTGTCCAGGTGGAGATGGGTTTCCTCCAGGCACGAGGTTGGTAGAAAAACCTCTAGCACGACCAAATCGGTCCTGAGATGTCTCCTTGGGTCACTCGACTGGTGGACCTGTTTGCTTCTCAAAGTCCGTAACTCTGAAGGAGTTTTTGCATCTTAACTTAACTCAGAAATCAACAACTCTGGGTAGAGTTTTCGTTAGCTGGTTACAGCTACGTTTATTCTTAGCTATTCTTGTCGGCGTGACAGAACAGCAGGGGGAGGTTAGGGACAGCTGTTCCCTTCCCCAATGATGTTGGTTCAAGAACTGCCCTGAAGCTGGTGATGGTTAGTATTACAAAGCTCTCAGGACACTCCCACTCTCTCAGCAAGAAAGCTTGGTCATGCATCAAAAACATGTGTTGCAGTTATTGTTTATCTTGACTCTGTGTTAGATGGATAAGGTGAAACTGACCTTCTTTGCTGAACACATCTTTTACTGTCCTCAACCATAATCATAATTAATCATTATTATCCCCAAAGCATAATAATTCATTTCATCTAATTAAAATACCTTTATATTGAACCAAGTGATCATTTAATGATGATTATAATAAACAGTAATAAAATCAAAGAGTTTTATTAATATTATTATCTAATTATCATCATCGTGAACTTGAAGTGGGACGGAACAGCAGCAGATAGGTGATGTTCTGCCAGACATCATGGCTCCTTGGTTAATATGTGGATTTAAAAGTACTGTTTGACCCAGCAGGGTAAATGTGACCTTTGCCACAAATTAGAGAACCTTGATGATGCCACAAGAACTATTGAAAGTTGCTTTAACATTACAATTAGATAATCACCACCATGACAAAGGTTTTGAGAAGCTCTCGTTGTTTGATGCTAAAACTGTCATTTTCATGCAGTTGCCATGTGCAAAGTAAATAGAGCTGCAGGATTTGAATGCATCTGCTCCTGCTTCCATCACTTCCTCCACTTGTAGCCTACTATCCTCTTCCTATTATTGTTTTCTGTATTTGTGGCTCACACAGATGCCAAAGTGCCAGCTCTCACACACACTGCTTAACTTCTCTGTTTAGTTGTGAGTCCTGTCTTGTGGAACCAGCTCCCAGCTTTAGTCCGTGAGGCAGACACTTTGTCTACTTTTGACTAGGACTAAAACATTTTTATTTGATAGGGCCTATGGTTCAAATCTGATGTTAGCCCAGATCTGGACAAGTGGGGGAGTACGGGGAGGTGGAGTGTACAGTCGGTAAAGACGGCTCTCCCTTGCCCTGCCTCCAACATGCCTCCATCTAAATAGGATAGATTATCCAGAGTTATCTCTGTAGTTATGCTGCTATAGGCTTAGACTGCTGGAGGATACACTGACCACTTTCCACACTCTACTGCTTTCTTCTACAATCTGCTCTTTAACTGTATTATTTCCTGCTAGTTCAGCTGTTAACTTTATTTTCTCTCTAAGTTTTTTTCTCCCCAGAAGAAGCTACAACGACGTTCTGCTGAGCTGTGGTAGCCTCATGGAGCAACTACCCCTGACTGCATCCCGGAGATCGGGGCGGGGCTAAATGTGGGCGGGGTCAAACGTTTAGAGGTGGGCGGAGACAACTATTTGACTCCTGCGTCCTGCCCCACTCTCAATGGAACCAGGAAACCGCTATGCTATATGTGTGTGTGCAATGCTGTGACAGGTGTCGGGACAGAGGGAAGTAGCTGCCAAAATGGAGGTAAGCTAGGATTTTTCTTTCTCTGTTTTAACAATATCGAGGACCAATGTTGGGCGAACGTTTTATAAACTTGGAAATTAAAGGTTTTTTTTCCCATTATGAGTTTTAGATGATACATATAGCCTATTTTACACATGCGGGGCGACTTACTTTTGAGGAGAAATGTTTACAGGGTTCCCACGGAGTCTTAATGAATTTATGAATTTGAAAGTAATACCTTTAAAAGACTGGCGAAACCCTTCAATTTTGGCATCTGGGTCTTAAAATTTGTGTTGGATGTAAGTTTTCTGTACTGCATTTTTCTTCTGAAGTTCATCAAAATATTCCAAACAAGTGATGACACCAAGAGAAGCACTATTTTTAGACATTTATTTCAATTTTGTGTCTTTACTGTTTGCACTGTTGCTTTTATACAATAGAAATACTGCAAGAAATTAGGGTAATAAAATTAGCAATAATAAAAAAAATGTCTTAAAATTAAACTAAAATATAGGCAACAAAAATTATTAAGGTTCTAATGTCAAACCAGATCGGTTATATTTTTAACCATTTGTTTAAAAATATAACCGATCTTCTACCAAGTGCCCACCCAGTGTTTTGTCAAAATATATTGGTAAAGTTGTATAGATAAATAAATGAAATTAGTTCAATAATTTTATTTTATTTATTTACTTTTTTGCTGATAGTGCCGTGAAATAGGTATTAATTTTCCATATGGCTTTAGAAAGATCTTAAACAGACTTAAATTTAAGTTGAAGAAACCTGTAGGAACACTTTTATAGCTTTGGGGAGATATGTTGTGTAGTCATGATTACTTTTTGGTGGAAAATATATTTTACAGGGGGAAATATGTTAGTTTTTTAAGCTTTTTATGTTCGTATCTGAGTTCTACACCTGATGGGCTTTATTATTATGGTTAGAGTGCTAATCTGATGTGTGTAATTATATAAACGTTTTGCTCAGTCAAGTGTCAACAGAATAACATGAATGTTTTCATTGTGAATGAATGTTGTGAATGAATGTTGTGAATGAATGTTGTCTGATGTTAGCCCAGATCTGGACAAGTGGGGGAGTACGGGGAGGTGGAGTGTACAGTCGGTAAAGACGGCTCTCCCTTGCCCTGCCTCCAACATGCCTCCATCTAAATAGGATAGATTATCCAGAGTTATCTCTGTAGTTATGCTGCTATAGGCTTAGACTGCTGGAGGATACACTGACCACTTTCCACACTCTACTGCTTTCTTCTACAATCTGCTCTTTAACTGTATTATTTCCTGCTAGTTCAGCTGTTAACTTTATTTTCTCTCTAAGTGTTTTTCTCCCCAGAAGAAGCTACAACGACGTTCTGCTGAGCTGTGGTAGCCTCATGGAGCAACTACCCCTGACTGCATCCCGGAGATCGGGGCGGGGCTAAATGTGGGCGGGGTCAAACGTTTAGAGGTGGGCGGAGACAACTATTTGACTCCTGCGTCCTGCCCCACTCTCAATGGAACCAGGAAACCGCTATGCTATATGTGTGTGTGCAATGCTGTGACAGGTGTCGGGACAGAGGGAAGTAGCTGCCAAAATGGAGGTAAGCTAGGATTTTTCTTTCTCTGTTTTAACAATATCGAGGACCAATGTTGGGCGAACGTTTTATAAACTTGGAAATTAAAGGTTTTTTTTCCCATTATGAGTTTTAGATGATACATATAGCCTATTTTACACATGCGGGGCGACTTACTTTTGAGGAGAAATGTTTACAGGGTTCCCACGGAGTCTTAATGAATTTATGAATTTGAAAGTAATACCTTTAAAAGACTGGCGAAACCCTTCAATTTTGGCATCTGGGTCTTAAAATTTGTGTTGGATGTAAGTTTTCTGTACTGCATTTTTCTTCTGAAGTTCATCAAAATATTCCAAACAAGTGATGACACCAAGAGAAGCACTATTTTTAGACATTTATTTCAATTTTGTGTCTTTACTGTTTGCACTGTTGCTTTTATACAATAGAAATACTGCAAGAAATTAGGGTAATAAAATTAGCAATAATAAAAAAAATGTCTTAAAATTAAACTAAAATATAGGCAACAAAAATTATTAAGGTTCTAATGTCAAACCAGATCGGTTATATTTTTAACCATTTGTTTAAAAATATAACCGATCTTCTACCAAGTGCCCACCCAGTGTTTTGTCAAAATATATTGGTAAAGTTGTATAGATAAATAAATGAAATTAGTTCAATAATTTTATTTTATTTATTTACTTTTTTGTTGATAGTGCCGTGAAATAGGTATTAATTTTCCATATGGCTTTAGAAAGATCTTAAACAGACTTAAATTTAAGTTGAAGAAACCTGTAGGAACACTTTTATAGCTTTGGGGAGATATGTTGTGTAGTCATGATTACTTTTTGGTGGAAAATATATTTTACAGGGGGAAATATGTTAGTTTTTTAAGCTTTTTATGTTCGTATCTGAGTTCTACACCTGATGGGCTTTATTATTATGGTTAGAGTGCTAATCTGATGTGTGTAATTATATAAACGTTTTGCTCAGTCAAGTGTCAACAGAATAACATGAATGTTTTCATTGTGAATGAATGTTGTCATTGTATCACCAAGGTCTGAGGAAGACAGAGTGCAGGCACGGAAAAGACGGAGAGAGGAAAGAGTAAAACAGGTGAGAGACAATTTGATTATTTCTTGTAGTTCAACTGTTGCTTGCAGACTGAAGCATAATTCCTTCACTTATTTCAGGGCCTGGAAGTGGTCCCTCCTAAGAAGTCCTGCCATACTGAATTAGTCTGTGCAGCATCAGGTATTGTTCAAACAAGTATTATTGTACACAACCCCCTAGATTGTCGAAATGGGATGTGGGAAGATTCAAGATTCAACCTTTTGTCTTATGCACAGCTAGAAAAACACGCTTTCTGCACAATGAAATTGTTACTTTGCCAAGATTAGAAAATTAAGACCGTTCCAGACAGATCACTTTTTTTTTCAAAGCAAGTTTTTCAGCCATTTCTCTATTTTCATTAAACCAGAATACTAAGCAACTGATCTTTTTTACAACTTGCATCGTTAATATGCTTTTTATGAACCACAATCTTTTTCCTTTCTAGCAGAGGCTGAGAACTTGCTGGAACTGGACTTTTCTTGTGTCATTGTTTCTTCTCCAACCTTTATTTTAATTAGAGGTGTCAAATAATTCCATTACTTGCATTTAATTTTTTACAGCCATGATTAACGTGTTATATATTTTAATTATGTTTATCATTTTTAATCTACTGCTTCTTTATGGGACTTTTAAATAAACCAATTTCTTTTCTTGTTCTTGAAGGGTTGATGTAAACTCATAAGTTGAAGGGTTGACGTTACAGTGACAAGACCGGTGAGAGATTAGCTGCAGCAGTGTTTACTTCAGCGACCTTGTTATCTTTACTCCATTTTTTTCACCCTTCTTGCAACTTTTTCCAAAGTTATTGTTACCATTTGGATGTAATGGGTGTGTCACTGAGCATCAAGGCTGCTGACAGCTTCTCTCCTGTATCAGACGCACCTCCGTGCTGCAGTTTGGAAAGACCACAGCATCAGCTGTTTGGCTAGCTGTTAGCATTGAAAATAAGGCTTATATTATGTACAGTTATTAGATTAAATTGAAAGATTAGATTACTTTCAGATCATACATATTTAATGTAAAATATGTTTTTAATCTCTTGACAGCAGTAATTTTAATATTGTCTTTATTTTTGATTAGGAGAAGTCTCTGCTTGAGGACACCTTTGAGGCAGCAAGGTGGTGTACCACAAGGTCCTTCAAAGGAAGCCTTTCCCTTCCCCAGGTCATCACCATGGACAGGGAAGCTTGCCGGAGGGCAGTGGAGAGGTTATGCTTCTGTGATGGCCTGGATGAAGAGGAGATGAACGATTGCAGGGAACCGTTCCTGTTCATGTTTAGTTTTCAGTCAGACTATGAGGAGTTCTGCAGAGAAATTGAGGAAAAAAGGAAGATGAAGGTGTTTTCTGGTTTTGAAATGCCATAGTACAGCGGTGTCACAGTTTTTGCATTCTTTTTCCTCCTCACATTGTTTTTTTGGAGGTTCTCTTGTTTTTTGTGTGCTTTTTGGTTCATTTGTTTGTACTTTTTTTTTATTCCTGTGTTGGATGTTGTTTGCTCTATTAAATTTACCTTTTTTGAAAAATTTAGTCTGCATTCTTGGGTGTCTCACACAATGTCTCACCACCCCGCCTCAAACCCTGGCATGTTTTAAGAAGTATCAACACAATTTAAGTCTCTGTTCCTCTTAATGTAGCTGATATAACGGAGTGTACAACAAATTTACCCGTGTCTGTCTATACTGTTTTACACTCACTTGGGAAATGACTATTAAAATAAAGGCAGCATTGATAAAATCAACTATTAAAATGGTTTTGACAGGTTCAAAGAATAGTCTTATAAATGCTTGAACCTTTTATAGAGGTACCAAAAGTATAGCTAAAAGACACAAATACCTATGTGCTATAAATACACATACCATACAAAAGTAGAAAAAAGAATAAAAATATCAGAACAGATTGGATCAAAAATGGCGCCTGTAATTATCTGCTCTTTAAAATTATCATGACATCCAGCAAATAAGTCATTTGATTACCAATGTTATGCTTTACATGGGTTTTGTGGGTTTTTAGGGCTTTCTAATCCTTAGAAAGGGGCTACTCGCAGTTTCCTGGTTCCATTGAGAGAGGGGCAGGAGTCAAATAGTTGTCTCCACCCACCTCTAAACGTTTAACCCCGCCCACATTTAGCCCCGCCCCGATCTCCGGGATGCAGCCAGGGGCTACTCTCATGGAGGGGGCCATCGGCTAGCACACTGCTGCTAACCACTTAAACATTATCCCTCTACTGATAATAGCATTTTACTCTATTTGACATTGAATGTGCTACTACTAATTTACCTGTTTAATCATAGATTCTCTAGGATAAATACAATAAAGTTTACCTCTCACCAAATAGAACATTTACTAAGAAATCACAATGTAACCATAGAAACATTGCTTGGTGTTGTAACGTGATCAAGGAGCCATTTCTACCCTCTAACAGCTGTTTCCTTTTGACACAGTGTCAGTGTGCATGAAACAGCCTCAAGGTCATGCATTTGCTTCCAAACTGTTTACATTCCAGCATGAAGACAGGAGAAAGAAGAATGAACTCTTTTGTTTTAATTAATCAAAGAATTCTATTTTAATAAAGCTAATCCATCAAAGTGTTGGTCAATAATAATATGTGACCGACCTGTGAAATTAAAATATTATTTTTTTTAATGATTATTATTATGATTTTTATGATTATCTTAGAAAATAAGTCTGTAAACATAAATGTTCCAACAGGACTCATTTCACATGGTGTTAAAAAGACATAACACATTCTTTCACTGATCCAATCAGAACCTTACAGATCTGACGGAGGCGTGCTTCTGATGGTGTTTGGTAATTTTCATTCGACAATAAACCATAACATCCGAGATATAAAACTATGCCACGTCAGCTCTAACGCCAGTTCAAGCGTTCCAGAGCAAGCGTCAGAGTGGCCAATCCGACCTTTATCTCTTCAACTGAAAGAACCACGACAAGCTGAGAAAATCCAGTCGCTATAACAACCAGCAGCAACAACAACTCCTTTCAGAATAAAAGCTCCACCGACCCAGGCCGGGTCTGAACAGACGCCAATAAAGAGTCATGTGTCGAAGGTAACTCGAGACGGGTCTGGTCGGAACCGTGGCTTCTTCTACCGGCTCGGTTTCCAGACAGGGTTCGCTGGGCCTCGGCATTCCTGATCAACCAGAGGACTTCCACAAGGCAGGTAGACCCGGCTTGATGGTGTCTTATGCGGTTCTGAAACTAACCCAAGCTTATTCCAAACCAACATATTCAGTTCCCGTCAGAACTAATCGCTTCTTCGGATTTGCTGGTTCTGATTTACATCACACGTCATCCATTCACCGTCTCATCCATTTTTAGTTACACTAAACATTTAGTTTTGAAGTCAGTCTAGTTTAATTTGTTAGTAATAAAATTCTTAACTTTTAAACTTGACTCTCTCTATTATGTTGTCTCTGAGTGAATACATAACGGTTACACAATCTCTGCATTAAAAAGATCCAATCTTCTGGTTTAAATAACCCCCGATCCGTAAGGCGGATTTCATATTTCCTATGGAATCCCACGCCTTACGGCTCATTAAATAAAATGTAAGAACGTCTCATTTTCCTTACAGTATATATGTTGTGTGTGTGTGTGTGTGTGTGTGTGTGTGTGTGTGTGTGTGGGTGTGTGGGTGTGCGTGTGCGTGTGTGTGTGTGTGTGTGTGTGTGTGTGTGTCTGCTCTGTCTTCTCCATCCTCAGTGAGTCGTGGAGGATGGCTGCTTATACTGAGCCAGGATTCTCTGGAGGTTTCTTCCTGTTAAAAGGGAGTTTTCCTCTCCACTGTGGCTAAATGCTTGCTTAGTATGAGGATTGCTGTAAAGACTATGACACTAGTCAGTGACTTGATGCAACCTGCTGGGCTCCTTATGTAGGAAACTTTTCACTGATTGGCTTAATGAACTGACCTGTATTGGAATGTTTACTATAAGAAGTGCCTTGAGACGACTCTTGTCATGATTTGGTGGTTTATAAATAAACTTGAATTAAATTGAATGGAAAAACTTGAACTGAGCTCCTTCTAGTTCTCCACCATCAGCATGAAGGCTTCTTCTTTGTTCTTCTGTGGCTTGGCCTGCTCTCTCTCCTTCAGCTTCACTCCTCTCCCCTGCCGGGATAAGCTTTTAGCTGTGTCCTAGCTGTGGCGGCTAACTGCCACACAGCAGCTGTCTACAGCTCCTCACTGTTCCAGCCAAATGCCGCCACACAACACCATATAATTAAGAGTGCTGGATGGGAGCAGGCAAATGTAAAGCAATTTGCAATGAGGCGAGAGGCTGAGTGAGATGGGGGAGAGTGGGATGGAGTGGTGAGCCAAAGGCACCTTCAATCTAATTGGGCTATATCAATTTATTTCGCATTTCAGAAATGTCACATCTTGATGTGAAGCAAAGTGGATTTGCATACGTGCTGCAGCCTGTTTTTAGTTCAGCAGCAGTGTGGAGGAAATAAATAAACAAGAACAAATAGAAGAGAGGAGTTTCAGAGGAAAATGCCAAGGCCTTTTCCCATCCGATGGCGGTGTGGCAATGATGCCAAAAAACAAGCCGACAGGTTTTTCTGCGTGATGTGTTTTGATGAGCAGAAGATAAGATGGATGAGGATGTCTCAGTTTTCTGAAAATCAGAAGCCTGTTGAAGCTGAAGACAACCTAACACCATCAACACGGGAAAAGAGATTTAACACTGCAGCAATCAGACCAAATCAAAACAAAGTCACATTAAACAATGAGAAATAATCATCTCATCTAAAAAAACTGCTTCATTAGTAGCTCCATGCAAAACACTACAGTAACTCAGCTGGCAATGAGTCATGCTTTTAGAATAATCCCAAAGCTTTAAACACAAACCCTCAACATTCCCACTTCACCCAGTGTACCCAGCGGCACCATCCCAGTTCTGTCAAAGCAAGATGGCTCTCACCAGGGCAGTGTGGTCTAGGACGTCACCGTCAGAGCGCCCCAGGGCAGCTGTAGCTACATCGTAGCTCATCCCCACTAGTGTGTGTATGTGTGTGTGAATGGGTGAATGACTGATTGTGTTGTGAAGCGCCTTGGGGGGGGGGGGGGGGGGGGCTGTAGAACCCTAAGATGGCGCTATACAAATACAGGACATTTTACATTAACAAGCCAGCTTTGTTTATGAACGCTTTACAACAGCATAAAAGTGCTTCACTAGCCAATAGAACAACAGCAGTTTTCTTTAATGTTGAGAATAACTTAGGATAAAAGGCTTGTTGTAAAATAAATAACACAACAAAAACAAAACTAAACCACCATAAATAACCCAATCCTTTTTAAGTGATAAACCTTTTATTTTGTAGGTGCTTGTCCAGCACTAGAAACTAGCTAGCTAAAGTTGCAGGTTAAGCGTTCTGCTGCCGCTTCGCTCCGTGGATGCTTCCAGTGTGAAGTAGGGCTCATACATATGGTGGGCTCACAGCCACGTCCATTTAAAAGTGTTATTCTGGGTAAGTTTTGGCAGAAAAACTCAATGCCTTGCTCTTTCTTGTGGAACCACCAAGTTTTTGCTGACTTTGACAGTTTTAAGACATGGCCCTGAAGAAAAAGGCGCTACTGGGTGCAGCCCATCAACCAGAACAGAAGGCAACAAGGGGATGTTCATCATCTGGTGTCAAAGCTGAGACCTGACAGCCAATGCCATCATCAGTATTTTTGGATGAGTGCTGAAAAGATTGACAAACTTCTGTCTCTCGTTGGCCCTGAACTGACCAGACAGTCAATAAGTACGTAAGTAAGTAAGTAAGTAAGTAAAAGTTTATTTATATAGCGCCTATCACAGATATAAATCACAAAGCGCTGTACAACATGATAAAGATCAGGGCAAATACCTCTAACCAATAAAAACATCAGAAAAACAATAGCAGTGATAAAGTAGAAAATAAAATCATGAGTATAAACAAAGTGAAGGTGTGAACCCGAACAAAGCCATCTTTTAGAACATTTAGGGAGGGAACGCCTGGATGAAAAGGTGAGTTTTTAGATGATTTTTAAAGACCTCTACAGTGTTATAGAGACGGAGATTTGAAGGTAGACTGTTCCAAAGTCTGGGTGCAATAGTCTGAGAGGCCCTGTCCCCTTTGGTTTTCAGTCTGGTTCGAGGAACAGCCAGGAGGTTTTCAGATGTGGATCTAAGGTTCCGAGAGGTGGTGTGTGGGGATAAAAGCTCAGATAGGTAGCTAGGAGCCTGGTTGTTAAGAGCTCTATAGGTCAGGACTAAAACTTTAAACTGTATTCTATATTCTACCGGGAGCCAGTGGAGGGACTGCAAAACTGGAGTGATGTGAGCTCGTCTGCTGGATTTGGTTAGGAGTCTGGCTGCTGCATTTTGGGTGGCTTGAAGGCGTGAGAGGGAGGTTTTGCTGAGAACAGTAAAAAGAGTGTTACAGTAGTCTAAGCGTGATGACACAAAGGCATGGATTATTTTTTCCAGATCTG